TCCCTGTGTCCATGTGTTCTCATTGTTCAACACCCGCCTATGAGTGAAAACATGCGGTGTTTGTGGAGTCTCATACTGTTGCTGGGCAGCAGTGCAATGGCACAATCTTGGCTCGCTGCAACCTCCACCACCCGGGTTCAAGCAATTCTCCTGCTTCAGCCTCCCAGAGTGTTGGGATTACAGGCGTGAGTCACTGTACCCGGCCAATTTTTTTGTATTTTTAGTAGAGATGGAGTTTCACCATGTTGGCCAGGCTGGTCTCAAACTCCTGGCTTCAAGTGATCCGTCCTCCTCGGCCTCCCTAAGTGCTAGGATTACAGGCGTGAGCCACAGCGCTCGGCCTTTTTTTTTAAATTCCTGAGACAGTCTCACTCTGTTGCCCAGGCTGGAGTGCAATGCTGTGATCTCGGCTCACTGCAAACTCTGCCTCCCGGGTTCAAGACATTTTCCTGCCTCAGCATCCTGAGTAGCTGGAATTACAGGCACACACCACCACACCCGGCTAATTTTTGTATTTTTAGTAGAGACGGAGTTTCACCATGTTGGTTAGGCCGGTCTCAAACTCCTGACCTCAGGTGATTCGCCCATCTTGGCCTCCCAGAGTGCTGGGATTACATGTATGAGCCACTGAGCCTGGCCTTTTTTTTTTGAGATGTAGTCTTGCTCTGTTGCCAGGCTGGCTGCAGTGGTGCAATCTTGGGTCACTGCGACCTCCGCCTCCTGGGTTCAAGCAAGTATCCTACCTCACCCTCCTGGGTAGCTGTGACTACAGGCGCATGCCACCACACCCAGCTAATTTTTGTATTTTTAGTAAAGACGGGGTTTCACCATGTTGGCCAGGATGGTCTCAGTCTCTTGACCTCGTGATCTGCCTGCCTTGGCCTCCCAAAGTGCTGGGATTACAGATGTGAGCCATCATGCCAGACCTGTCTTACATAACTTTCAAAAAAGCTTATAGCAGCCAGGCATGGTAGCTCATGCCTGTAATCTCAGCACTTTGGTAGGCCTACGTGGGTAGATCACTTGAGGCCAGGAGTTCGAGACCAGCCTGGCAAATATGGTGAAACCCCATCTCTACTAAAAATGCAAAAAACGGCAGGTGTTGTGGCTCATGCCTGTAACCCCAGCACTTTGGGAGGCTGAGGCAGGTGGATCACCTGAGGTCAGGACCTCAATATCAGTCTACCAACATGGTGAAACACTGTCTCTACTAAAAATACAAAAATTAGCAGGGCATAGTGGCATGCACCTGTAATTCCTGCTACTTGGGAGGCTGAGGCAGGAGAATCACTGAACCCATGAGGCAGAGGCTGTAGTGAGCCAAGATTATGCCACTGCACTCTAGCCTGGGTGACAAGCGAAACTCTGCCTCAAAACAAAAGCAAAAGCAAAAACAATTAGCCAGGTGTAGTGTCCTGTGCCTGTAACCCCAGCCACTCAGGAGGCTGACGCAGGAGAATCACTTAAACCTGGGAGGCAGAGGTTGCAGGAAGCTGAGATCACACCACTGCACTCCAATCTGGGCAACATAGTGAGGCTCTGTCAAAAAAACAAAAACAAAAAACAAAACCTTATGGCAGTAGCTGAGAAAAAAGTCAGCCTCCACCATCCCCACCAGTTAGAAAGGAGAATTCAGGGGTTACAAACAGGATAAAGTGTTCCAAGGTCCCCACTGGCACTGGGCCATACCTGCAATGTAATCTTATTTTTCACTAGCAGTCCAATTTTGATATCCATGAGATTGAGGTCATTCTCCAGCTGCTGGTTAGAACGAATGAGGGTGATGACCTCTTCCCGCATCTTCATAAGGTCAAGCTCCTCCTGAAAATCCTGGTCACTTTGGTCCAGCAGGTGGACAAATTTTCGGACAACAATCATAGGAGGATCCTCAGCATTGACTGACAGAAAGTATGCATCAGACAAAGAATGGGTTACCAGAAAAAGTGCTATGTCTCAGAAAATAGCATTGTCTTGACAAAGTAGTTGTATTCACACACAGTTATTTTTGAGATGTGCTAAGGCAACTATCAGGTCCAATCTTCTGTGTCTGGCTATTACTATGTTATGACAAAAGCTAATTCAACAAGCAACAAGACACCTAGCCGCATGTTAGCAAAGGGGCTCACATCACAGGTCACACCCTCTACCCCAAGCCTTGCCTCAGGACAACCAAAAAGGTCCATGGAGAAGACCCAGAACCTGGTGGCTCTCAGCCACTGCCTCAACTTTTCACAAGGAGCCAGTTACTCACTGAGAGTCTTGTAGTCATCCCGAGCTTTGTTGGCCCGAATAAAAGCCTGGATTTTTATAATGTCATTTATCTAAGGAACAAAAAAGAAGAAATTCCTCTGTTCATCTGTCTACCAAAAATACGGCCAAACCACTCTTAAAGGCCCTTATGATCCACGGGTACTCACGTGGTCCCGGAAGTACTGCAGGCGATCTCGATAGCGCTTTCTAGCTTGGTGCATCCTTGCCAGGGATTGAATCTGTGGAAAGGGGATCCTGGAAATTAGAAGAGTCCTTCATCGCAACACGTGTTACACCTGCGCCCCTCATGGAGAAACCTTGCTCGGGCTACCATACCTTTACAACTTCATCTTTGTGGGAGCGCAGGTAAGCTAACCGGTCTTGATAGGCCTTCTTCTGCTTGTACCCTCTCCACTGGGACTGAAACCATCAAATATTACGGAGAACAAATTACTTCCCAAGCATCAATGGAAGTTAAAAAATTTTTCATCTTAATATATGATCCAAGTGCAATTTCATCATGACGTTTTAGAAAGGACCATTTCCAGCAGTGACAAGGGACAAGGGCACAGGCCATTCCTCCACCGGAAGAACATGATGGCTCCATTCTACTTCCCCGACATCGACAGTCCTGCATGCCTTTTACAGTCCATACAAATTCATTACTGGCTCCTTACAGCAAATCAGGTGAGGAAGGGAAGATACAACGGGGCATTCCCCTTTTACAGATGGGGAAACACACTTGGAGATTCATCACTGTCTGGCAGCAGTGCAGCCATTGCTCCTAACTCAGAATTGTTTCCAGGACATTGTGCTACCTTGTCAATGAAGCAAAGCCACAGTTGTTTCCCTCAAGGTTCAAATGTTACAGAAAGATACAGTCTTAGAAGAAGAGAGGAAGAGGTGCCCAAGAACTGCCACTGTGCCACCATTAAACACCAGTAGGCACACTACACTTACATGTTAGTAAAGAGGAGGTACCTGTCAAAGGAAAGAGAAGACTAAGAGGCCAGAACTCAAAAAACACACTCAGACAGTTAATGGTGAGGGCTGACTATTTATTACCCCTGCTCTAGATGCCCGCTTGCTATCTGTGTCATAGGTTCTGAAATACCTGAATGCAGGTGATGGCAGGGATTTGTTTCTTCAGGAAATTCATCCTGGATCGGAATTCCTGTCGAACTAAGTATCCACGGCAGCGGGCCTGCAGCCTGGTGATCAGGCCTTCATTGGCCAGCCAGAGCTGTTCTCGGTTATACGCAGCTGTCACTCCAGAGATGGAACTCTGAAAAAGCAGTGGTCACATTCAAAGACATTCACAAGCAAGAACGGATGCAGCTTTTCACAAAGTATCACCCACAGCACACAAACTAACACTCCCTGCTTCCTAAGTCCACACCAGATTGTATGGACTTAAAGTAAAGGGAATGAAGCCCTCAGGTCTGTTTTTCAGGACCAGGTTGTTCTCACACACCTCCTCCCACCTAGAAAACGTTTCATAAACAAAAACTTGATCTTCTTTTACTTCATATATCATCTCATTTACCCACCTATCCAACACGGACTAGGCTGGGCACTGTGCTGGCTGATCTGGGGTCACTGCGGACAAGAATAGAGTAACAGGTATCCAATAGGGCTGTGTGCCAAGAACCAAGGGACCCCTAGAATGTTACAATGTAGGATATCCCAGACGGAGAGGCCAGAGGTAAGGACAGAAAGCCGCAACTCTAGGCAGACTGCAAATGGTAGGCAGATTGCAAAAGCAGCCTAGAGGGGTTGGACTGTTACTAAAGATACCGGAGAGCCAGGAAACTTTCAAACAGAGGAATAAAACAATCAGCTGCTTATTATTTATTTTAGTGACAAGGTCTCGTTCTGTCACCCAGGCTGGAGTGCAGTGGTGTGATCTCAGCTTGCTGCAGCCTCAAATTCCTGGGTTCAAGCAATCCTCCCACCTCATTTCCTGAGTAATTGGGGCTACAAGCACACCACCACACCTAATTTTAATTTTTAAAAAAATATTTTTTGTAGGGCCGGGCGCGGTGGCTCACGCCTGTAATCCCAGCACTTTGGGAGGCCGAGGCGGGTGGATCATGAGGTCAAGAGATCGAGACCATCCTGGTCAACATGGTGAAACCCCATCTCTACTAAAAATACAAAAAAAAGTTAGCTGGGCATGGTGGTGCGTGCCTGTAATCCCAGCTACTCAGGAGGCTGAGGCAGGAGAATTGCCTGAACCCAGGAGGCGGAGGTTGCGGTGAGCCGAGATCGCGCCATTGCACTCCAGCCTGGGTAACAAGAGTAAATCCCCCTCCCAAAAAAAAAAAAAAAAAAATTTTTGTAGAGATGAGTTCTCATTATATTGTCCAGGCTGGAGATTATTTTTAGAAAAATACCGTTAGGAAAGTAAGACAGAGCAGAGTGAGGAGAGACCAAGTGGGTGAAATAAATGCTGCTATTGTGACACAAGTGAGAGATGACCTGAGCCTGAACAAGGCCAGCAGCAGTGGGAATGATTAGTAAGAACATCTGGTTACCGATCCAATATCCACCTTCTCCTTCAGAGCCTTGATTTTTTTTTTTTTCTGGGCAACACTGTCTGCACTTAAAAGACTCCAGAGCAGACGGGGAGGGTGGCTCATGCCTGTAATCCCAGCACTTTGGGAGGCTGAGGCGGGTGGATCACCTGAGGTTGGGAGTTTGAGATTAGCTTGAACAACAAGGAGAAACTCAGTCTCTACTAAAATTACAAAAATTAGCCAGGCATGGTGGCACGTGCCTGTAGTCCCAGCTACTCGGGAGGCTGCGGCGGAAGAATCACTTGAGCCGGGAGGCGGAGGTTGCAGTGAGTCGAGATCATGCCATGGCACTCCAGCCTGGGCAACAAGAGCAAAACTGCGTCTCAAAAAAAAAAAAGAAAGAAAGAAAAAAAAAGACTCCATGAGCTAGAGAGAGATCATGCGCTGTGAGCAGTAGTAGCATGGCAAGACCTTTGGGAAAGCTCCACGAGAGAAACAGACGGCTGACAGCCTTCTTTGCTTTCCTTCCCCTTCTTCCTACTTCTGCCTGGACTGCTAATTTGCTGGTCAGAGCTCCATGCTATCATTGTAGGTAACAAGGTGACCTTGAGAATGGAAGCCACATGCTAAGAAGGACAGAGCGCAAAGACGGAAGGATCCTGGAACAGATGATACCATGGAGCCACATCTTCCCTGGACTGCTGAACTGCAGAATCATTTCATGTGAGATAAAAATACACCCTTATACACTATTGCAGGCTCTGATTTTTTCCTGTTGAACTGTGTCTGAGGTGTCTGCTGGACTTCTGGACTGCAAAAGGAAGGGCAAAACCTGCCGGTGAGGAAAAGGGATAACATCTGGAGGAACAGATTTATGAGTCACAAGTACAAAGGTAAGAGCTGAAGCCATAGGCTTGAAAGAGATCACTCAGGAAGAATGTGTAGAAGAGAAGAGGGCCAATGGAATCTTCATATAATTCAAGCAGAGATAGAGAAAGAAAGGTAGCATGAGACGTTAAGAAGGGACACTCAGAAGTAGGAGAATCAGAAGATAATTGTCTAGAAGAAGCCAAAGGAATTGAGGGTTTAAGGAAGAGACTTTTGTCAAGTCAAATATGATAAACACTCACAAATGAATTTGGCAATTAAAAGGTTATTGATGAATTCTAAAATAAGAGCCTTACTAAGTAAAAGCTGGACGGAAAACCACATTGCTGTGAGCTAGGAAGTGGATAGTAACAGAGACTGAATTAGTGATGGGCAGACTAACTTTCAAAGCCCTTACGAAGAGTATGAATGTAGATGAGGCTGGATCAGGAAAATTCTATGGGCTTAAAAACAGTTTGTATTATTATCTTTCCAAAGATGTGGGAATTAAAGATGCTTAAGCATGTAGACTGCTGTCTAAAATGTGGTCCTTGAGTCAGCAGCATCAGCAACACCTGGAAACCTGTCAGAAACACAGATTTTCTCAGACCCCATACTAGAATCAGAGTACCAAGTAAAAACTTAAAGTGCTCAATAGTCCATCAATGACAATGTAAGTCCTCATTCAAGAAAGTACTGCACACTTTGAAGTTCACCTTAAAAACTAGTAGGGGGCATAGACAAGTACAAATGTGACTAAAATTCGAATCCAAGTACATTAAATTCTGAATGAATACAAAATTCTTTGGGAGTTTCAAAAGAAGACGGAGGGGGTAAGGAAAGGAAATTTTTAAAAGTTTCATGGGGGAGGTGACTTAAGATGGGTGTGCTTGGAGGACTGAATTTTTAAATTAAATTTTATTTTTTTTTGAGACAGTGTTTTGCTCTGTTGCCCAGGCTGGAGTGCAGTGGTGTTCATGGCTCATTGCAGCCTTGAGCTCCCAGGCTCAACTGATCTTCCCCTCTCGTCCTCCCAAGTAGCTGGAATCACAGACACACGCCACCACACCCAGCTAATTTTTGTATTTTGCCCAAGCTGGTCTCAAACTCCTGGGCTCAAGCAGTCTTTTTCCTTTGGCCTCCCGAAGGGCTAGGATTGCTGGTGTTAGCCCAGCCTGAATTTTTTCTTTCTTTTTTTATACCAAGAATCAGTACAAAGGGAAGGACAGAACTTTGATAGCTAGAGATGGCAGGGGAGAGACATTTCATGACAGCAGAGACTTTGTTTTGTTCATGGCTATATCCTCATTGCTTACAAGAGTACCTGCTACATTTAAGGAGGTATTAAATAATTGTTGAATGGGCTGGGTGTGGTGGCTCATGCCTATAATCCTAGCACTTTGGGAGGCTGAGGCAGGTGGATCATTTGAGGCCAGGAGTTCAAGACCAGCCTGGCCAAGAGGGCAAAACCTCATCTCTACTAAAATTACAAAATTAGCCAGGCGTGGTGGTGCATGCCTGCGATCCCAGCTACTTGGGAGGCTGAGGCAGGAGAATCACTTTAATCCAGGGAGGTGGAGGTTGTGGTGAGCCGAGACTGTGCCACTGCGTTCCAGCATGGGTGACACAGTGAGACTCACAAACAAACAAACAAACAAACAGTTGAATGGAATAGCATAAGCAAAGAAACAGAAGATGAAAATGTACTTTAAAAGCCCTATGAAATGCTAACGTAATGTGAAAGTGCAGGTTGTAGCTAATACAATTTGTGGAATAGTCAGAACAGAGACTGAAAATGTAAACTGGGAGAGATTAAAGTAGTTGTATTTAATGAGGAGTCAGGAACTTTTCATTTTTCTTCTCTGGATCATCTCAGTTTTCTTAGCACATGGTTTTATATCACTTAATTCTACAATTCAGATGTTTTACTAATTCAGGCCATAGTCATTCCCCAACCACTACAAAAAAAATTACTGCAAAACAGTTCATTACATAACCTCAATTTTGGTCTAGGGTCTCTGACCGCATGCTCTTTTCCTCTTAATTAATATTATAGCTTGAAAACACTTTCTCTCAGCGTCTTAAGTGAAGAAAGATGCCTACCTGGATCTCCTCCCGAGAAAGCTGCATAGAATTCTGCACAAAATTTGGGGGTTCGTCCCATCCTCCTTCCTGGGTCTCCAGATTGTGGTAATAATAGTATCCACCTTTCACCCAGTGCTTCACCCACTTGCTGTCATTATCTCCTGGCAGAAAATAAAGGAAAGATAGAAGACACCCAGAGACGTACTCCCGAGCTGTAAGTCCAGGACTGCAGGATTATTATAGTCAGGTCTCAGAGTCTAAATGAAGACCACTCAAAAGCTGCTCCTTGGATCTGTGAGAGTAAAGGGGCATCCTAAGCTCCCATTAAATTATGGCTTTGTAATGTCTAATTTAGCTCATTTATGTCTATAATGTAAGAAGAAAATACCTATGAAGTCTAATTATGGAATTAACCATGATTAACTTTGTTCATTCCAAAGCCCAGTTTAAGGCCTGTGTATTTAAAAAAATTTGCAAACATTCAGCCTCTCCAGTTTTTCCATTTTTAAAAGTCCATAAAATGGGATAAGAAATCTTATTTCTATCTCTTTCTACAAACTACTTTTAATTGCCTATAGGCTTAATCACAGCTACTCTACTCTGTGAAAGATAAACAGATATTTTGATCCATCCCACATTCTCAGAAAATTGGCCTTGTTAACATAGCTGTCCACAAAGGGGGAAAAAAGATAGTTTCAAAAATAGGGATTTTATCTCATTTAAAATGAGCCTAAGGCCAGGTGTGGTGGCTCACACCTGTAATCCCAGCATTTTGGGAGGCCAAGGCGGGCAGATCCCAAGGTCAGTAGCTTGAGACCAGCCTGGTCAACATGGTGTAACACCGTCTCTATTACACTACAAAAAATTAGCCAAGCATGGTGGTATGCACCTGTAGTCCCAGCTACTCGGGGGCTGACGCAGAGGAATTGCTTAAACCTGGGAGGCGGAGGTTGCAGTGAGCCGAGATTGTGCTACTGCACTCTAGCCTGGTGACAGAACAAGACTGTCTCCAAAAAAAAAAAAAAAAAAAAAAAAAAAATCCTAAGTAGTGTACGTCTACACACTAAAAGGTCTTTCCTCATAGCTTATCCCTCTCCTCTACTCAAGGCTTAGCTTCAGGGCACAAAAGTATTATCCCAGAACTCACCCGCTGCCTGTTTTTTCTTCTTGGCTTCAGCAAGGTCACTCTGGTAAGTTTCACCACATTCAGGGATGACTCCATATAAGCCAACATCAGGGGAACGAAGGGCACTCAGTGTTTTGCCAACATCACCACTTTCTACTGCTTCATTAATGGCAAAGATTCCTAAGGCAACTATTCCCGGAAAGAATTGTTACCAGAATAGTTTATAAAGTGTCTAAATTCACACGCTGGTTCACCTAACTATGTCTACTGGCAAATTGTTCCCGCATACCTATCTTGGTCAAGCTGAATACTGAGATATGGAGTACCTTGTCACCCCAGCCTCCACCAAAACAGAAACAAAACAGGTTATACATACACTTCTGGGCTTCTTGGGTGTCTTTGTTGGACTGCCAGATTCCACCTTGAATTTCATCCAACCACAGCACAGCTGACTCATCCTGGGTTTCCTACATATCATTAAAAGCAAAACAATATTGAAGTCACAAAATCGGGGTACATATAATACACGTGTGATAGGAGGGCTTCTCAGACTAAATTAAATATGGATATGGAAGAACAGACTTAAAAAATATGAGACACATGGGTTACTCAAATGGAAGAAGCAGGCATCAAAAAACTGGTAAAAGGTTGGGTGCAGTGACTCGCACCTGTAATCTAACACTTTGAGAAGCTGAGGCAAGTGGAATGCTTGAGCCCAGGAGTTTAAGACCAGCCTGTGCAACGTACTGAGATCCTGTTTCTCTTAAAAATTAGCCAGGCATGGTAGTACATGCCTATAGTCCTGGCTACTAGGGAGGCTGAGGCAGAAGGACTGCTTAAGCCCAGGAGGTTAGGCTGCAGTGAGCCATGTTCTTCTCACTGCCCTCCAGCCTGGGCAACAGAGTAAGACCCTGTTGCCAAAACAAACAAACAAATTGGTAAAGGTCATGAGCTAAAGGGAAATGGCTCAGATGTAGGTGAAAATTATACAAAGATGAATTTAAGTGGTTCAGGAGGTCGTGAACAGCTAGAAGGGGCAAGAGGCACAGATGGACTGGGAAGGGGTCCATGGACTTTAACGACATGGGCTAGGCCATATATATATATATATGAATATACAATATTCTGAGGAAGTCAATGCTCTCTAAGACTAAGACTGTCAAGTCTTATTTTAACCAGAACCTTTGAATTATCACATTTAAAGCCAGGAGTCACTACAGGCAATCTACATTTCTCACCAGCTGATACCCTAAAACTTGAATGTTAAATCAGTTACTGGGAACTTAAAGGTACATTTTCACACAGAAACATACTGAATATTGTGATTACTTTCTTTAGTACAGCTAACAAAAGCCCCGCAGTATAGTCTGAGTTGACTACTGGGGACAGAGATGATGTATGATGTACTGGAGGTCACTTACTTTCCTCTTCCTAAATTTGTTTAGATAATTTTCTTTTTTAAAAGAGCTTGTTGGTGATCATTTGCTCTGAATAACATTTTAAACAGAATTAGATTAGTAGAAATATCTTCCTTTAGTATCTTCCAATTTTCAAGAATGTGGCTGCCGGTCGGGTGTGGTGGCTCACACCTGTAATCCTAGCATTTTGGGAGGCTGAGGCAGGCGGATCACCTGAGGTCAAGAGTTCAAGACCAGCCTGGCCAACATGGAGAAACCCCGCTTCTGCTAAAAATGCAAAAATTAGCCAGGCATGATGGCATGTGCCTGTAATCCCAGCTACTCAGGAGGCTGAGGCAGGAAATCACTTGAACCCGGGAGGCAGAGATTGCAGTGAGCCAAGATCACGCAATTGCACTCCAGCCTGGGTAACACAGCAAGACTCTGTCTCAAAAAAAAAAAAAAAGAATGTGGCTGCCATCTTCCCATTTGGGGAAGTAGCTTATGGATTAGCCCCAGGTAGTCAGGTAGTCACTACCGTTACTGAGAGTTAGCACAACAGAATTCTATTCCTACCTACTCTCAGTGTGAGAGTCAGAATCAGAAACCACTGCTGATACCTTGCTAGATTTCTGCGGTCATAGTGAGGTTTCGTAAGCTTTAACGATCTCAAAGAGTGTGGGGGGGTCCTTTGTTAAGATGACTCTCTAAGGTCTTTATAAAAAGCATCAATTCAGCAGATTACTGGGCAGTCTTCTATAGCAAAGACAAGGCACTTTATGTTTTAAAGCGGCCATGTTGTGAGAGTCGTGTTTATGGTGATCTGGGCCGACTCAACAAAATTAGCATACTCTTGAGGCTTGAGCTAACAGCAATGGTGCAAACAGCAGCTCAAAAATTCGTTTAGATTGCTTAATGTGAATATAATGTGCCAAGCCACAAATGAGGCAGAATAAACAACTTGGTAAATCACCATAACTATGTGTCCAAATGAGGCAGGGTCTGAACTTTGAGGCAAAGTGAAACGTTTCACTGCCCAACAGTTGAAGCCACAAAATCTTAGGGAAGGCTTGGCTTTCCTCCTGTTTTATTAGAGAGAGAGACACAACATTTCATTCCATATAGTAAAGCAACCACAATCCTTGCAATTTATAAAGAGTGCAGGTGACAAGATAAGGCCAAAGGAAAGCATCTGAAATGGAAAGCATCTGAAATGGAAAGCAGTGATTTCTCTTAAATGCAGCATTTTAGAAAGAAAGATCATTATGGGAGGTGCTGGCCTTGCAATTCTAAGAGGCATTGTCCCAATTTTAAGAAGCTCACAGTCTTGGGAAAGGAAAAGAGTAAACAAAACAGAATGTAAGAACAAATGAATCACTTAAAAACTGCAGAACCTAGTACCTTCCTACCACTAGCTGCTTTCTATTACTGAAAATAGAAAATGACCACACACTATCCTCTAGAGTCCTACAAATAACTGCTGGAAATGCTAGGCAATAGTTCCAATGTGAGACAATACAATGAGTCAGCTACAGGCTTGTGACAACTTCAATTGAGAAGTCATAAGCAAGAGGGTTGACGGTCCAGTCTCTAACAGAAGCAGCATAAAAATCTTTGCATCACAAAAACAGAAGCATTTCCACAGAATCAAGCCAATTTTGGTTCACTTTTAGGATAATCATACATCAGATATCTGAGCAGAATCTGCTGTAAGGAAAGCTGTGAGGTTTAGCATTGAGAGAGGAAGGCAGAACCTTTCTGAGAATTCAGAATTCAGTCTTTCCTGCTTGACGCAGATTAAAGTAAAACCTTTCATACATACTCCTTAAGAAATTAGTAGAGCAATAAATAGTATTAAAGGCAAGAAAAAGTGAATGGATGGGTGTCTCAGGTGTTTCAGGGGAACATAACATAGAAAAGCCCCTCACCAAAATGAAGAAGGAAAGAGAGACAGCATCCACTACCTCATCCCAGTGTACGAAGAAACAGCTTCTTTCTGCTCCAATTAGACTGAATAAGATGACAAAAGCCAAATCCTTCCAGTAAAATTTGTTTTAAAGAGATCATCTAAGATGAACTCAAATCACTGAGCAGAGTGTTAAAACCCAGGCTAGATATTATGGAGAGAAAACAGATTTGCTGTAAAAATTCTATATAAGACATATTAAAGTACAGCTCCTTAACAACTCTAACACTTAGAAACACACTGATTGCATTTCAGAAGTGGTAAAGAGATAGGGACCAGAAGTCAGAATAAAAAAAAAGAGTGGGCAATGACTGGAGGGAGAAGAGGTGAAAAAGCCACAAAACATAGGGAAAGGAAGGGAGAAGCAGCAAAAGAATGACAATGTTATGTACATGCATAAATGGAAAGCACATACTCACTTACCCCTCTAAAGGGCACCTCTCACCCCTCAAATCCTTTTAAAAAGCCTTTACTTACTATGTGGCATGGTTTGCATGTGATGATAGATTCAATCCTACATATATAAATATATAACCACATATACATCACATACACACCTAAACACAAATACACAAATCTGTACATTTATCAACTACACAACACAAGCACTGACCAATCAGGAAGGAGTACAGTCCTTATGGGCACTGGCTTAGTTACCATATAGTGGAATTTCAGGGAAAGAATGAGAACTGGAGAGTGGTGGCACGGATTTGGGAGGGTTGGGACAGTAACAACATATCAAACAAAAAAGTATTTCAATATCCTAACAACTGGTCCAGCTGTGCTGGTGTGAACCGGCTCATTACTAGCTACATACATGTAAGCATGTGTGTACAACTGCGTATACACACATGGAGGTTAGAGACAGATTTAAGTCATTCATACTCTTTCTTCCCTTTTTTTTTTTTTTTTTTCTGAGATGGAGTCTTGCTGTCACCCAGGCTGGAGTGCAGTGGTGTGATCTCAGTTCACCGCAACCTCCTACTCCCGGGTTCAAGCAATCCTCCTGCCTCAGCCTCCTGAATAGCTGGGATTACAGGCGCACGCCACCACACCTAGCTCATTTCTGTATTTTTAGTAGAGACGGGGTTTTGCCATGTTGGCCAGGCTGGTCTCAAACTCCTGACCTCAAGTGATCTGTCTGCTCTGACCTCCCAAAGTGCTGGGATTATAGGCATGAGCCACCACACATGGCCTAAGTCATTAAGTTATAAAATGAGTTCCGGAGGATCCCTGATGTCCATGTCCTACATTCAGACTTTACTACTCATGACTAGTAATCCACTTTTATCAAGAGTTCCACAAGCACTAAATTTAAATGAAGAGAGAAGTAACATCAATGAAAATGGTAAAGACCTCTGAAAATCCTCTCCACCATGAAAAACACACACACACACACACACACACACACACACACACACAC